TACATACATACGTCTAAATTCAAATTGTAAATTGAGTATAGAGGCTATTAGTAATTAGTGTTTAAATATTATTTAATTTTGTCTTCAACATTATTCAATAAACATTTTCTGTAAATAAAAATATATTTATGACTATGATATATGATTACAGTACAGAGATCTATACATATTATACGCTTATTTTTTTAAACCATGTAACTTATTATTCAATACGGATCTTCTCTAACGAATAAAATTAAAATCTTCTTACTATTATTTCATGTCTGTGGTCACTCAAGTGTCCCATGAATAGATGAAATAAAAACAGGTAGTAGGCTTTTGTTTGAAAGCACGCGCTATTCATCTTAACCATTTGTGATCCAAAGAGAACTCGTAAGTTTCACTTCACCTCTGCAATTGTCAGATGCCCGTATTTATGACACTCTCGAAGTGCATTCTTGTTCAATGCCACACCATAGAATTACTTTACGATGTTACGCCATTTTTCTATATATTATTGTACTTATAGTACATGGATAATATAATTAAGAGAAGTTGTGATCAAAGGTGGACTATCCCTAGACGAGATCTCTTCCAGTCAACCTAAAACAGTGGCATAGAGTGGGTGGTGACTATTTAAATTTTTTTTTTGCTTTATTCTTAATATCAAAATCTCAATTTCAATGTATTTATATAATTTAGTACAAAATTACCTCTTATCCATTTCTGCCTCCAGCTTGCTCTGTAAAATGTGTTTTGTTGTAAAGAATGAAATATGGTAGACTGGCAGTGAAATGATGTATGGGGCGTCAGCTTGTTTGCCATTCCAGTTACTCTGATATGAAATGAAACCAAAAAATATAAAACTATGGGGCTTCGGAACAAGGTACAGTAGGACATGATGACTTATATACAGTTAATAAAATAATAGTTTTGCGTTAGTCTTTGTTATAAATAATACTATTAAATATTATTTAATGACATTATATTAATAATAGCACTTAAATATATTAGCGGAAAGTAAAGGATAAATTTTTAGGCATTATATTTGTCAGGTATATATATATACACAAGTACCTAGGATGAAGCTAGTTAGGTAGTTTATAGGGTTAAAATTTCACAATCACAATAATTGAATTGAAATTAAATTTAGTCTAAAAAATATTTACAATAAGTCGAGAATAGTCGATAATAAGTCGACAATTCAGTTGTAAGTACATCTTGGTTGATATTTTTTTTAATAGCACATTTACGAGTATAGTTTATTACAAAAGTTTACTATATAATAATATATGAACAATAATATAATGTTGCAGGCGTTTCCGGAGTCCCGCTGAGCGTAGTTCCGAACAATTTGTTAGTTTGTAAAACGTTTGTGAAACATACCAACAAAAATTAGACCACACGTAACTCAGACCTTGTCAAGCAGATAATTTGAAATTTAGTGTAATATTTTCTTTAATGTATGTTATTATATATATATATATAATTTTTATTAACAAACAATCACATATATTCACAAAACAAAACAATATAGTTTAATAAGTTGTAATCCAATGTGACACATCGAGGCAGCATACCCAAGATATTGGCAGCGTTGCCTCTTTCAATGGCTAACCTCTGGGCAAAGTAGCAACTAGCACTCGGGTCACAAGTAATCACGATAATAATCATAAGAAGCCGCACTGAAATACTCTTAATAATAATTTAGCTTTGTTATAAATAAATAATAATAAGTACAGAATTATATTGTATCCAGCAATAAAAAATACAGATGGAGAAAAGAAATTACGATAGATTCTGTATTATTATTATTATGCATATTATATTGCATCATTATGCCTACCATACCTACATATTAAAATACTAGTTGAACTGCGAAACCTCGTCGGCATCACTCTTACTTTAACATTATTAATTATATTTCGCCCCATTGACATGTATAAGTTATATTACTGTAAGGTTTCATCAAAATTCGTTTAGAAGTATTTTTATGAGAGTAAGTAACAAACATTCAACCATCCATACTTGCAAAATTTCCCGTTTATAATATTGGTATATAAAATTTATTTAAAAACATGAATGTCGGCCTTGATGGTCTAGCGATTTAGCATACCGCTTTACTTCCGATGGTTGCGGGTTCCATTCCTCGCACGGTACAAACATTCATTTGTAATATACTGTTTTATATTTGACGCGGTCATTATTTTGTATTTATGAATATGATTGTTTGTATCGATCTGGGTGTTTTAAATGTATATGTATGTATTTACAAAAAAAAAGATTCTAAATATTTATATCAATTGTCTAGTACATATAACACAAGCTCTACTTACCTTGGGACTAGAGATGGCGCTGTGTTAATTGTCCAGAATTTATTAATTAAATAATAATTATTGATGGTACTTGAATAAATTTATTAAAGTTTTATTATTTAAATTCTTCCGTAAACTGTAAATATCTTCTGTTAGAATTGCCGACCGAAATATTGAAATATGGAGGGTAATGGTAACTAAAATTATTTAATCACTGCTACCTATTAACGAATATAATACTCAACAAGTTATATAAAAATGTTAACAAACCCCGTAATAACAAGTTTCTTACGGTGTAGAGATAGCAAGAATTCATGACTCAGTTTATTTCAATACAAAGTTGTTTACTGCGGGGACTATAAAAATCTAAGGTAAATGCGTACAAATACTGCAGAAGCTTGAAAATAAGGAGGAATACCGTTTTAATTTAGTCACTGGAGCTTATAATGTATGCCGACTTATTAAATATTGAATGACCTCCATGCTCTGTTCATCCCGAAGATTCACTGGTATAAAATACTGTTAATAAAGCTAATATTTGCCGTTATATTTTTTAAATAAATAAATAAAATAGAAAATATTTTATGTTCAATACAGATAAATTAAAACGCCTGAGAATTTATTGAGAGCAATATTTTAAAAATGTACCCCTGAGGTATAATATAAACAACAGGCGCAATATGACGTCAATGGACACATCTCATATTACCTGAGTATGTGTCCATTATTATTTATTTCTTTATGTTAAACGAAACTCTAATTTAATTAATATATAACTATCCTCTCTAACCAGTTAACAAGTATTAATATCACTGAAATTTAGCAAAAAAATTTTTTAATACACCTTCTTAAACAGAAGAAGCTTTTTATCTTTAATTACACAGTAGTCGTATTTGTGGATCTAACTTATGTACTACTACAGACAGGTATCTTGTTCATTACGACCTAGTTTGCCTTACTAATTATGAATCGTCACATTTACTGTGTATCTTTCGCTCTCTTCATTGACTATATATGAAGTACCTACTGCGTGATTACCAAATCAGTAGACATTAAAAATGGAACAGGTTCTATGTGTGTACACAACATGTATATATGTATGTATGTTATGATAAAACGATTAATAGGAAGAAACTAATGGGAAGAAATTTTGATTGTTTATCTAACTGAAATGTCATCAACACTAAATTGACATTTACTCTTGTCATGTTTTTTAAAGTTGAGAGAATGTTAAGTTAGTTTTTACACAATTAATAAGTAGATTTTTTTCTTATACTGGAATCATCCATCCGCCTGCGCTAACGATTTGCACTGGCGGGACACCCGTGGAGATGATAAGATGAGCATGAGGTCAGGTCAGTTAGTCTGTTAGTTCGAGGTGAATTTATCACAATGGTTTCCAGGGGGAACCACGTGGAGGTCAACCTGACATTATACATTGATAGCAATGGGGTTATTACTCTACATTACTATAAATTCCCGTCTCTTCAATTAAACAAGTCTAAAACTTTGAATGTAGATTTATTTTTTCATCAAATACATAGTGAAATACACAGTATCCTAAGGCGTCAAACCATCGAGTCGCAAGACATATGTATTTTTATTTCACACTACTTGCTTGGAGTAATGTTAAATACTTATCGAACTTTGAAATTTGTTTTTGTATCATAAAAATACGACCAATTAAATTGTTTTCAATCAATTCAAAGAAACGGAAAAGAACTTTCTTAATTGGAATGTAATTTTTGAGGCTACATTTCGGAAATACTGCACTGGTTTTGGTATTTTATTCACACACTCTACACAATGGTTTTAGCTTGAAATTTAATATATATTAATTACTATATGTTGTTCTTGCCAATTGTGAAATGTGAGGTTCGCAATATCTACCACAGGGCGGCCTCTAACTTTGGCTCTGACCTTGTGTTTCTTTTTTGTATAGCATTGTTATATTTCGTATTGCTAGTTATATCCAATTTAAAATTTAATTTAACTCATGATGTCCATCTGCTCACAAATTTCGATAAATTTGTAAGGTATCTGTTATTGACTTTACTAATTATGTAATACTATGTATTGTGCATAAATTGTATAAGCTGTTAGGTTATTGACAGGTTAAATAAATATAAAACTAAATAGATTTGATAATTCTTTTTGCAGTTAATAGTGTTATTTATTAGCGTTGTTATATTGCTTTACTGTCAGTAGTCCACTTTTATTGGGACTAAACACGAGTATTTTGTTGTCAACTTGAATGTCAGGTGTACTGATATTTATGAGATCTTGAGAGGAGGAAAAAAAAATCTTTCTTAATTTCCTTTTTCGGAAACTGCTCAAGGATTCCACCCTCCAATATAAATACACCCAAAGCGTTTACGTTAAAGACGAGTCCTGTCAAATGCCTTTTATAAGGAACCAAATGGCTTTAGGGGGTAGAGGGTAGGCAAGTGAAGGTAAAATACTGGTTTCACTTTTCTTAAAAATGGACCAGATAAGATCTCGATTCCTTAGGAATATATAATTACGGTGTCCCGTTTATGTTACGAGATTTGCTTATTAAAAAAATCGAGATTTAAAGATACTGAAGAAATAAAACTAAGAATATTCAAAGACAAATTGTTTAAAAAAACATCGTTTTTTTTATTTATTCATACAATACTTGATTATAATCAGTGTAGTGTGTCAATTGTAAAAAAAAACCTATGAAAAGATGCTGTAGAACTGCTTAGCTGGAATATTCAATCGATTTTCAGGTTGCTTTATTTACTTCAGTTAGAAGTCCTGGATTCCTTCGCTGAAACGTGTACTGCATTTCAACAAGAGTAAGAAGAAATCAATACAATGTTACCACGATGAAAGTTATATACGTGGTCCAACAGCTGGCTCCGACTTCTATTGTAGCGTTGTTTGTTGATTTTCTTTTAACCTTCTCTCGTTACGTATAGAATTTTTTAATATAATGTGTCAACCTGTTACTGAGGATTTAATGAGGAAAAATATGGAGATAAAAGAAAATGCGACTAATACGACTGCAATATATAATAGAATGTTACAAATTGAATATATTAAAAGAATATGGTTATAAAATTAAAAAATAATATGAATATTTATCAAGGAGTTTGCTGCAATGTGATTTAATATTTTTATTCGTGTAAGGTAAAACTCCAGCGTAAATATTTAATTGCCTTTCTAAGGGTGATTGTCGCGAAATTCTTTCTCAGTAGCTACTATGTTTAAGGACTTTTTGAACTTTGGTGTAAAAATTTCATGTTTTCAGACTAAAAAGTTTTCGTTGTGTAATCATCACATAAAGTGTATAACGCACTCGTAATTTTACGATTATGAATGTTGAATTAATAATAATATTTATAATTTTGTAACAACATTTTAACAACAGTTTATATGAGTGTTATTTTGTATTATTATAAATATTTATACTGGCATCGTATAAATACATTTTTAGTATTTTTCTTTGAGTTTTCTCAACTCTGCAAGTTTGTATTATCATATAAAGTAAACTTGTTGATTATAATTTCAGTACGTCGAACATAATCTACTGGTTGTTCCCGCGACTTCGTGCAGATGTAGATTTGTAGAGCATGATATATTACTAAAACGTCTAATTAAACTATGAAAAAAATTTCTATATGACACCAACTTGTATTTTATTAATAAACTAGCTGTTCTCGCGACTTCATCCGCGTGGAATTTAACTTTATTTTTCTAATATATTTCTTTTTTCTAAAATAAAAGTAGCCTAAATTACTCTTTATTACATCAGCTACCTGCCAATAAAAATCTCGTCAAAATCGGTCCAAACATTTCAGAGATTAGCCGGAGCATACAGACAGACAGTCAAAAATAGTAAAAAATGTTATTTTGGTGCATGTACCGTATTTATATTTATAGACATGTAGTAAAAAACGGTTATTTTAATATTACAAACAGACACTACAATTTTATTTATATGTATAGAAATTAATTTCTTCAAACCTTAGGTACCTACCTAAGGTTGTACCTGCTTTTCTCAGTTTTCGTTAATGTACTTATCGTATTTTATAACATATTTGGGATAATCTCTAAATCCTCTAGCCATTTTTATGTGACACCTAAACACACAAACAAACAAATAGTTTTCGTCTAAAAACGAAAAAAGATACTGTTCTTACATTTTCTCTATGCTCTCGTCAGAAATGGTGTTATTAAGTATTTAAGGTTTTGCCACAAGCGGACTCTAATTAATAAAATTCAAAAGTTTCTAAGTAATTTTGAAGTTTACTCACTGAAGTGACTCAGGGAAAAAGCCCGTGTAACTTCAATACGACCTTGTTTACCTACAAAATGTATATTTTCATATTATATAAAGTCGGTCTCTAAATAAGCCAGCCAACCCAATTTTACACCTAGTTAATTATCTGGGACGAGGGAAAAGTCTCATATTTTCTCTCCACAAGTCTTAAATTCTGGAATGGTTGGTTTTTTATACAAGTACATTATAGAAATTAATGGGTAAAATAATAATAAAAACCCCGGCCAATTTACATAGCGCCATCTAGTCCCAAGTTAAACGGAGCTTGTGTTATAAGTATTAGACAACTAACAGAAATACAACAATACATATTTTTTGGAAATATATATGTAATATGCATTAGATACACCCAGCCCAATGCAAACCTAAAGATCATGACTTCATCATTTTAAAAACCGTAAAGGATCAAGACTTGGAATCAAAATGTATATTTATGTAAATTTGGCTGGCTCTTGTAATAGAAAATAGATAAGAAATAAACTTTAGATAAACGAAAATTGCAAAAACAATATAAGATTAGAGTCTTTTCTGTTGGAAATTAAAAAAGAAAGGATAAAACAATCAAGAAAACAAGTAGACTGTGCATCGAATATTTCTCAAATGAACATATGAGAAAATTAATGCATTGGATTAAAATTGTGAAAAGAATGCTCAGCATATTCCTGTTGAAGGTGTCGTTCAATCACAGAAAACTCTCTCAGTCATAACGTAGGTAGTATGATTTGGTGAACTAACGAGTTTACCAAATCCTAACGTGATTTGCACGGGCAGATACAGCGTTATGCTGGGATTAGAAAAAATACGGAAAAAAATATTACACCTACAAACCCAATCTCTTTGAACATTCCGTTTTTAGGTTTCAGTTTCAAAAAGATACAAAAATTCCCTTATGATGTCACTCGTCCACACGTCCGTTTGTCTACCGCAAATACGACGATATGTCTTGGTAATTATAATAGTAATTTTGTAGAGCTATCGATTAGAAATAATTTTTTTAATGTTTAATACGTAGTTTTCTGTAGTTATACATAACGAAAACTATATCGAAGAACTAAAAAAAATTTCTTTACAAATACTGGCTGTTTTATGGAATGGGCATTTACCTTGCTAATGGTATGCGCTGGCGGGGCAGAAGTGAATCATAAAGGGATGACAGTGCAATCAGGTCACTTGGCACATCGTGGCTCACTCGTTTAGAATGAACCTCTATGTTTTCCACAGCATCTTGCATCAAAAGTATACAAAAGATTGACAACAAATACAATCATTATGAGGTAAACGAGTTGGCTGTCGTTTTGTTTAATGCATCTCAAGCAGCAAGAAAGACTATATGTAAGTGACATGAGAAAAGTAATAACATAAATTAGTAATGACACGATCCATATCATTCACCTGTTTGTTATTTTCAGTAGCTTGATCTTAAGATCACGCGGAGTGTTCTGAGGAATTGTTCGGATTACTACCAGCTGTTGAGTTTCACCACCGTACCACCCGCCAGAAACTAAAATACCATCCTGATCATCTGGATGAATGTCTTCCACAGTGCGGTTTTCTAGAAACTTTTTCCTCGCACAACCACATTGTGGAATCACCTTCTAGCAATGGTATTTCCGAACCGATACCATATTGAAACCTTCAAGAAAAGAGCTTATTCCTTTTTAAAAGGCCGACAACGTACCTGCAATTCCCCTGGTGTTGCGGGTGCTCATGGGCGGCGGTAATCACTTACCATCAGGTGAGCCGCATGCTCGTTTGTCCCCTGTGTTAAAAAAAAAAGTCAGACTTTCAATATAGTGTAATATGAATTAAAATATTGTAATGGATGGGAAATGGGAAAACTTGATTTAATTCTTATCCACATCTTACATTGTAGTATATATTCACGTATACTACATGAACGGCCCAGACGAAGGCCATAAATTATTTATGTTTTCTATTACATAAATTGCGACCCATGTTATATGGGAAATAAGAAAAATGATAAACACATTTTCAGATGTCAAAAATAGTGTTCATGGAATGTAACTAAAATATGTTATCCTTAAAAATGTTTGCCTTATAGAAAAAAAAAGGTTAGATTGATTAAGTTTTCTTAAAAATTATCAATACATTGTGTAAATATTGAATCATTCATTCATTTTGTATTGTATGTATTTGTATAATTACATACCTAAGTACTAGCAAAGCGCTGCTTATAAAAGCTCTATACTTGGCAAAAGTCACTATCTTAGTCGGGTATTTTATTAAGTAGCACTCAATTTTCAAGACAACCACAATTTTCATTAAAACTTGGAAAATTAATGCATGAAAACTTCAGAAGTGTTGTGTGAAATTGGGATACTGACGAAGCGTGCAATCGTAGCATTTTGTCTTTATAATAGAGCTGAAATAATGGTTAGAAAGTGGCAAGACACACGACAGGACTATGTATATTATGAATTGTTTCCACATACCTTATAGTAACCGATCGGTTGCCATTTTTAGCTTGCCGAGCACCCCTTTGATGTACTAATTAACCTTAGCAAAATTTTCACGGCTCACGATTACGCAATTAATTTGCTATTTTTGTTTTTGTTCGCCAAAGAGGAGGGCTGATATCGCCCGGGAATGTTGCCATGGTTACGGGGGGCGCTGTCGGCGCGCGCCGCATCCAACGGCAGAAGTGACCTCGCCGCGCTGCGGTCGCTACGTTGCTTTCAGCCGTCCTCAACTGTTTTTCACGACTTACGTCATGAAGATATACAACCTTTGACAGTCCTGTGTTATTAGATACAACGAAGCTAGTGTTGTTAGTCTAGTGCTGGTGTTGTGTGTGTGTGAGTGGATGCATTAGGTGTCGTGTGATGTCGCGCGGTAGTGGGACACATCTGTGATCGCGACTAGGGTGCACGGGAGGGGCGACTTTCACGCTTGATCATGCCTTTCGAACCGAGAACAGGTAAGTTTTTCAGCAACGCCAGTATTGTTGAACTTTTCAGCTTCTATAAGCCTCTTAAAGTATGACGTATCTTTGCAAGATTCCACACTTTTTAAAAGTTAAAATTGTTGTCACGAAAACCGGCGTAATAATATCTCAATGAAGCTTCAAGTAATTATAGGAACGATCTAGAAAGTTTTGTTTTGAACGAAGATTTTTAGAAATAGATTATTAATAAAATAAGCGACTGAAGCTTCCGTAGACTAAAAATGTTTATTAACTCTGTAAAAGCTGTTTTAATGTAAATAGCTATGGATATGTTTACTTTTTGTATTGAATGCCCTTGATTTTTCGATGTGAATGTTAGGGTCGTAAGAATAATACGATGACGAAGTAGGTACCTATTGTAGTAGATGTATGCATATATGGCGGTCGGAAAATTATCTTACGTAATACAAAAGACTTGGGCAAAGGATTTCACGCTTTCCTTAGCACAGCAAACTAACAACCATTTGCGTATTTTTTATATATATTCGAGGAGTTCCTGTCTGTGGACGTTCAAGAAAAGATTCAGTGTAGATATAGTTACTTAAATTGAATCTTTTGGAAGTATATATCGATTAGCACTTTTGTTTACCTATTTCTATTCTAAAAAAAGGACGAATTTTGTCTACTAAAATGTATGGAACATTTTTCTTGATTCCTCCGTGTGATTCAGTTGTAGGTACATAAGGGTAAGACAATTATATAGATAGGTATAAATTGGGTATTGATATACCTACTTAGAGTAAGTCGCTATAATTACGAGTATAATATCACTGTTGTCCATTGCTTATGATGGAATATTGTAGCTAAATATGATCAATAGTTGCGTCTCTTTATAAATAAGATAAAGGCTACAAAGCTGGCTTAACAATAAGCTGCATTAACTAAAAAATAATAGATTTTGGAAATTTATATCGCTGATTGTTCTAAATTTGAGTTTTATGTGATTACTGTTTATTATCCATTCTGTAATATAAATAATTTTGAAATATAGTCGTGTTCTTGTATACCGATCTCCACAAGATGTGTTCTTGATTAGAGACCGTGATTCAGGAACAGCAGTGAAGGTATACCTTCAATGCTTTTGTGTATTAATGATGGAAAATTTGAAGTCTGCGGTAATACTATCAGTGCTTACATTACTCGGGGACGGTGAATGAAAATGATTTCTGATGTATTGGTTCATCGTTTATCTGGAATGAACTACAAATGGTTTTTAAGACTATTCTATTTGTAATCATGATAAAGCCAACTTAGCGGTGGACAGTAATAATGATTAACCAAACAAATATTAAAAATTAAATTTGAAATAACTTTTTAGTTTTTCGTTTTTCTTCGCTACATCCCAATTTTGCGTAATAATTTTCTTTTGTTATTTGTTTATAATGAGAGTTATATAACCACATACTCGTAAAGTGGGCACGGAGCCAAATGCCATTTTTTATATAAGGTTCTCAGAGCAATAAAAATGTCGAGAGAGAACACTGTATAATGAATGTGAAGCACCAAGATAAAAAGAAATAAAAACACACGTTGACGTTTTCATGTCCACAAACGTGCATATTTTACAAGAGCTATTTAATGTTAAAAAAATATATTTTTAAAGGCCGAAAAGTTGAGGACGATAATAATCATCCTTATTAATTTGAAATAAAGGTTCTAAAAGTCATATGCGTGGTTACAGCAGCTTTCTCTGTAAGTTGTGTTTAGGTTGAAACGTAAGGCACTTAAATTACAGAGTAAGAAACAAGATCTCCTAGCCTCTGGAATTGCAACGCACGAGTGGTATCACCGCTGTTACATGATATCGTGATATCCGCTAACACTTATCATGAAATGGGTAGTAATATTGTTTGCCATCCCCATAACATAAAAAAACAAATTCTATTGTTTTTATATATATTTCATTACCTCTCCAATAATAATGCATTATTATAATTATAATAGTATTATTAGTTCTAGTTACCTTACAATACTTATATAACATTATTATGAGGGGTAAGTCTTCTAAGGTTAGAAATATAAAACAAAACGAAAATAATGATTTTTTTTTACACATTAGATTAACATATTGTAGACGGAACATTTTCCTAATTCATATTCTAATAGTTTAATTTTTATGGTTTTTAGTGTTCCCTCTCGATTTTATTGCTAGTCTGGGTGAGGCTAGGCCGTACTACGGTGAAGCTTTGGCGATATTTATCCGCATGATTTGTATCACAAGAAATCAATACAAGTAAACGCACTAGCGGGTTTTTTTTACCGCAAATCACCATTTATAGTATTATATATACAGACACGAACTAAGACTGAACCAAGTCTATCATAATGTATACGGTTTTGGTGAGTACTGTGTATCTTTCGTTGGACAATCGAGTGACGACAGTTGAACAAACGGCCGACACCTACTGACATTGACATCGCTGTGTTTCAGACAAACCGTGGCCACGTGCAGTACGATCTTATTGACACGTCGAGAAAGGGAAATACCTACTTTATTTACCATAGAATTATTCAGATTAACTAACTACTAACTGTATTAAAGAACTCAGTATTTTATACAAACACATTAATTACGCAGGTACTTTAATGCAGTTCTGCAGTTCAGGATAAACTTACGACTTTTCATAAAGTAACTTACCCTATGCTAAGAAACGAACTTGTATTTAATTATCCTGCTGGATTTTATGTACGAGGATTATATAATAGTATAAGAAAATTGTACATTAATACGTAGGTAGGATATCTAATAACAAAGTTATACGAAAGTTGGATACAGTCATTGATGTTTCTTATACAGCATTCATGCCTACCAGGAAAAATGTTATTTTGTATGGAAGTTTTCATTTAGCAACAGATTTTTATAGATTTTATGATAAATGTATTAATGTATTAGCTGTTTCCCGTGACTTTCACTGCTTTTTTTAGAGATAAAATATATCTTATATCCTTTCTCGTTTACAGGTAACAAACACAGACACACTTCTAATATTAGAATACATGCATGGAATTCTATTGTATAATAGAAATAGAATCTGAAATTTTTTGATGGGTCTTTATCTTATTAGAACACATTTATGTACAACTAGCTGACTCGCGCAACTTTGTCTCCATCGTACTTTCATGACATTTATCACTATATTTCGCCCTATTTACGTGATATCTTTTAAAATTATAACCCCTGTGTTAATCTATGTGTGATGAATAGGCTATAGTACTATAAAGTTTCATCAAAATCCGTTCAGTTGGTTTTGCGTGAAGCAGTAACAAACCAAAAGAGTATTATTATGATATTAATGATAATACTTTTGCAAAAATCTAAATATAGTAAAATATGTATAGTATCACACTGTTGTTATCGCACTCTTGTGAAGCTCCCGTAGGTTATTTCTCATACACGTAGGTGATAAGGATGGCTCTATCCAGAAATAATTTATATGGCATTTATTTTGCTATATGCTGGGTCCGTTACAATAGAATTATAGACGATGTTTGTTTGTAAAAGAATATACATACATGTATTATTTTCTTTTGGTGTTGGTTAATTTACAATTATTCTCGTCTACTCACTGAAGCTACTAGTAAACAAAGCAACGGTCATTAATTTGTTATGTAATTTTCTAGTATTTAAGATAAAAAATAAATACATATTTATTTCGATAGAATATACCTAGCTCAGTAAGAGAGGATGATACAATCAGGTTAGCGAAATGATGCATAAAAATGTGATGTTCCGTGTGCCCATAACGAAGTTAGGTACCCTTATTTCTCTTGAATGTGTTGCGGTTTAGTCTTCATTTGTAAGAAAGGTATGGTAAAAAAAGGAAAGCTATTAAGTGGGAATTCTTTTTTTTTTGAGATACAAAATATTCTTTATGCCAAATATTTATTTATTTTATAATAACTAAAGAAGGTACAGCGCATGTACCACACCGTAGGGATATATACTAATATTAAAAAGATAATTGCAAGTTGAACTAACTTGAAACTAACTTTCCTGACACATTTTCAGTTATTAATTATATACATTCTTAGTATAATATTCACAATATTAATTTTATAATTATATGTATCTAGTATTTTCTATAATGTCAAATTTATTTTTAAAATTATTTTAATATCATTCTACATTTTACGTTTTTTTCAATTGGATTTTAGTACATATGTATATAAAGAAAGTTTGATTTATTTATTTATCAAATTACTGATATTTTTTACATATTTGCGAGGGCGCTACTCCTCAACCTACCTATGGAACCGTAGCTGACGTTTGTTTTATAATTATCTATGTTAACACTCTTAGAATATTTCGAGAGGGAATTGGTTACTTGAATTTGTTTGAATTATTTGTTTGCTCACTGGCCAGATAGACAAACATTTTCGAGCGACAGGCGATCTGCGGAAATTTATTTTCTATTTAGAGTAACAACGCGACTGTGTCTCTTAATTAGAAATCTGACGACTTCACAAGGGCACATTTGTTTTTTTTATGTAATTTAACGGGATATTGTTGGGTTATTACAGGCGTCAGTAATAAATTTTGTTGTCTTTAGTTATTGGAATGGCTGACAACGTAGTTTGCACAAACTGTTGTGTATATACCGGAGCATAGAGGTTTGCCTATAAAAACAATAAC